ATACTAATCAAATCCTTCCTTGTAGCAATTGGCCGAAGCTATCTCCATGATCTTTCACCCGCGTTTTTAAAAAGATTGAAACTACTATGAGGTGAAACTGCATGTCAAAAGCGCATCGTTTTCTACAGATAACGGCCAAACATCAGGATTTTCCTTTTTTGTACCGTATTTCCAACGATAAAAAACTTTATCCCAAAATGACTCGATAACGCTCTTACAGATTCCGTTTTAACTTCACGAACATTGAGGCGTCTATGGGAGGAAAAAGCTCCTGTGATCGATTTTAGAAGAACAGTTCCTACAGAGAAATATTGCTGCAAGTATAATAGGTAATGCCTTCATTTCGTTGCTATGACAACTCTGATGTCATTGCAACCCTGATCACAACAAATTTCATCTTTATCTAATACAACTGTGGTGGCAATTTTTACAAATGTTTGTTTATGGCGACGTAGTTTATGCTCAAACTTGGCAGGTATTGACCGTGAAAAACTGTATCGAGCCATTTTCATATGCCAGTACGGCCTATGTTGTTGCATCTGCCCTAATTTCTGTTCGACTGTTTTGGGCAACTTGCAAAAATTTTTTGGGAAAATGGTTTACCGCCCCCCCCCCCTCCCCACTGGCAAAAAATAGCCCGTACGCCTATGTCCATGTAAACAGGCCCTTAGTTCAATAGCTGAATGGGATGTGAGACTTTTTATTCATCACTTTGTCAGACAACTGAAGCACAGAATTTAAATGCTTTTTTATGACGCTATGAGAAGCAAGGAAGCCATGCGAAGCGAAATCAAAAGCAACAATATGCCCCGCACTTTTCGATGAAACACTTTGTAGAGTCTTAAGTAAGAGCACGAAATTTTGGTAAACAAAAGAAACTGGCCATGACACTTTAGAATAATGAAGAGTAATAGTGCAACAAAAATCCACCTACCTGCAGGTTCCTCCTCGTTGATTGTAATCAAAATGAGTTGTGTCAAAAAATTGAGGCCTGTGAGAAAAAAAAAACAGATAAGAAAATGTCATGTATGTTGTACTCAATTTGTTATCTCAGGTAAGTTTTATTTTACTTTTGTTTCAACTTCATTAGCATAAATGACCATACCCCAAAACAATTCAGACATCAGACAAAAGACATCCGACATCCGACATAAAAAATCAGACATCGGACGTCGGATATCGGCAAACGAAAATCAGACATCGGACATCGAAAATCAGACATCAGGACGTCGGACATCGGACATCGTAGATCAAACATAGTAAATCAGACATCGGACATCAGACATTAGACGTCGAATATGGGACATCCGACACAGGACATCGGACATGGGACATCAGAAATTTGACATCAGACATCGACATTGGACATCTGACATCCGACATCTGACATCAGACATCGGACATCGCGGGGTTAAATTTTTGTCCAAGGTTTTTTGGGGGTTTTGTTTGAAGCCCTAGGGATTTTTTGGGTTTTTATATTTGCCCCCATTCGATCATCCCTGTCTCTTTTATTGAAATCCGGCGTACCCCCCCACCTCCCACCTCTGAGTATGGAACTCCCCTCCGAATAATATTCGAGACGTCTATAGTTTCTCTAAATGACTTTAAACGTGAACGAAAGCTACCTCACTTTAATACAATTAGCGACCGATTTCAACACCAAGATTCGATATATAAAAAATTTAACAAAACTTTTTTCATTCATGATGTACGTTTTGATATTCAATTAATTCAACCGTTATCGTTTGATGTTTATATTTTTCTCAAAGAGATAAGCAAACAAGCCACTTTGACTTAGTTAAGGAGGGTATGTGTGGATGTAAGAAACAGCAAAATATGAGACTGAAAAAAGAGCTAAAAATATAATGGGACGCACAGAAAAACTCAGTTAAAAAAGCGACGGGTGGCTCACCTTCTTTGGCAGTAGAAGAAAAAAATAGAAGAAAAGCCGTTTTCCGAAAACGAAATAGTCCAACAAAGCAAATATACTGATCAAAAACTATTGAAGACTATCGGGTATAGAAAACAAACCGTTATATCTTGACTACCGAGGAAAAGAAGAAGGGAACGGAAATTTTACATGGTTTGAGCGAGAAACATTTTGTTTAAGTGAAAAATAATAAAGCAATGATTGAATGAATTAAATTCGTTTGATATGGAGGATTTTTCAGATTTTGGAAGTTCAGGAGTAGTAGACCGATAACCATGTAATAAAAACTCCTCGATCTGCACGAATTTGTCATACATATCCTTGTGCAATAGTTGTTAAGTATTTTTGCCATTTAAATATTTATATGCCTTGTGTTATAACTATCATCATGTCCGTTGTTAAGAACTGGAACGCATGCATGGAGTTTGGTTAAAGAAACTTGACGCATGAATGCCAAAATATATGCATTCTCTGACCGAATATTTCGTTGTGTTTAAGAAACGTTATATCAGAGTAACATTTATTTTGTTATACAAGACTCACAATAATGATAACTTTTGTAAGTTTTGACTGTTAAGACAGATGTTTGAAAATTTTTATAAATATTTTATAATGTTAACATTCAATAGTTCAACCGAATAATTTCACAGTTGTTAAACACTAAACGGGATTGAAGCCCTATATTTTTCTTGCTACTACAACGTACCACAATAAATTTTAAAATATATAAATCTGATGAATGGTGAAAATATACTAAAGACAAACAAAGTTTGTATTACTTTTTGTCCTAAGTTAATGTCGAAAAGTAATTTAAAGTACTCAAAGAATTTTGAACTAAAAATGAATAAACCTCATATCTAATCGAGATCACTAGTCTAAAAATGACTAAATAAAGCTCATGTCTAATCGAGATCCTGAATATGACATAAAAAAATCTAACGACAAAAAAATTTGCTTTGTTTTATGACTTTGTTGTTTTTGGCGAGACACGGATATAAAATTATAAATTTACTTAGAACTTCAACTCAAGAAAGTGCATGATAAAATGAGTCTCATTTTTCAAAACAGACTATGATAAAAGTTGCTTTTAGGTTAAAGTTTACTTACTGTCATCGAGCCTTAAATCTAGAATGGCTCTTACATAATAAATAAAATGAATCAATTGCTGGCAATGATTGCCAGAATTAAGCTTCAATAATATTATGACAATTTACCTACCTTGGGAAGCTTTAAGAAGGGACAGGAATAATGAAAAATTCAGAAGTTTCTTCATTGTTGATGGAAAATCATCTCCCTACTTTCAGGATCGGCAACAGTGATTTTCTTTTTGACTGTGTCTGATGTGACGTTGTAGGCTGTTTTCCATACAGCTTTTCCCGACTGCAACTTCAGTAAACGGAGATCAAGTCAGTTTGATAGACTTAGTAAGACGCTGATCGACAAGATTACGAATTGGGAAGTAAAATTGAGGTAGAGGTAGAGGTTAAGTGACGGCTGTACTAGATTTTTTTCTCAACTGATCGATGGTCTAATTTAGCAAACACCGGAACAGCGGGATGTCAACACCGGGTTGCTGAAGAATATCATCCTAATGGGGACAAACTACGCGCGTTTTTTTTTTTTTTGGCGGGGGCGGGGCGGGGAGGAGTAGGAGGGGTTTTGGTGACAATTTAATAAATTCGAGAAGGAGAAGGATACAGGAAAAACATTTCGTAAAAATTTCTAAATTTCCCTTCTTTAAGTAATGAGTAGAATTAATTTTGAAGTTCTTTTTTTAAAGCTTTAAAAAACTAGAGTACAGAACACTTCTTTTTTAACTGTTGGAGCTTCTTTTATACTATGCACTTCCAGCCTTGTTCCAAGTTGTCTTCTGTCCGAATGTGACGTCACCCGACAAGTTTGTTGGGATGAACTCCAAGAATGCAAGTTGTCTACATCCGCGTGACTTTTGTCGTTCAATCGACAATTTTCTTGAATTTTTTTAATCAGACCTACAGCTCATCTGTTAACAATAAGATTTTAAATGGACGTACAGTAACACTTTGTAAAGATCCTAATATGGGAAAAGGCCGCCGCTAGTTCCCCTGTAGGGGGCCCACACAATCTTTGTGTGTAACCGATTATTATTTTATAGTAAATGTATGGGATTTACCGTTTGCTTGACCTATAGCGATATATCGCTAAGTCAATCTTAAATAAACGTTGAATTACCTTACCTGTGGTATATTGTCGTCCTTTTGCTAAAAAAGCGGTGTTTTGAGCGTTTTTTGAAGGATTTTGAGTTCGCCATTTACTATTCCATATAAAAGAAGGACAAGAGAGGAATCCTTGTTTTGAAGGGCTCTAGCGCCGGAGCCATTTTCCCCGGATTTAAACTTTTAAACTTTTGAAGATCTTTTTTGAAGATTTAAACTTTTGAAGATTTGCTTTACAAAAACCTTTGATGCTGAAGCTTACAAAAAAAATATAGAGATCTAACTTTTGCGCATACAGTTGCATTGTCACGCATTAATTACCAGTCAACAAAACTTTGATCTTTTAGTGGTTTCTTCTCTTATTTGGTTAAGAGAACTTTGTATGTATGGCAATTAGTTTTTTCAATCTCGGTAAACAGAATGAGAATTAGGAACATTGCGGCGGCTCGGTAAATATTCTGCCGACCGTACCACCTCGATTTCAAAGAATAATTGTTAATTATTGACACAGCAACGCGTGAAAAGGGTAAAGAGGGAGAACAGCTTAGCAGGGAGGGGCGGCTTTACATGTACATCTGTTGACAGTCCCTTTTTTATTATGGTGAACCTGGTTTTGGAATAACACTCAAACTTGTTTTCCATAGCTTCTTTTTAGTAAACTTAATAAAGCCGGTATTTCAATCGCTAGATCTTCTTCAGCAAAAATGTGAAGGGAGGCTTTATCGGCTAAGTGGTTGAAGAAATTACAAGAATTATTCAGCCGTTAATAATGTGATCGCAGTCGTACAAATCGCTTTTTATCTTAGCACGCGTTGCGGGCCTGCCAGTTATCCTACACCCATACTCGTACCCAGGGCTTCTCCGTCAAGCTGACCCGAAAATAATGTTATGATGCGACTTCTACTGTGGTAACGAGGTCTAAATGTCCGATTTACTAGAAGAAAAACCTGTAATGCCGCCACAGATTTCCCCTAAAGACCTCCCTAGAGATGGAGAAAATTCTGATTCGGAAGAAGATGATCCTGTACCGCCAGTAATCCTGGAAAATTCATCAAGCAGTGACGAAGAAGCTGACAACATGGACGACGAGGAAGACAACTTGACCCAAGGATATGTTCAACTGCCGGCTCAGGAGGAAAGCGAAAGCCAACAAACCGCAGATCATTGGTTATCTCAAGTATGTGATTATTTACACTTTACTTAAGAAAAGAAGGTTTATCTTAGATGAAACTGCTGTGGCACTCGTCAGACTCGTGCACACTGAACATCACATAATTAAAGCTTATATTAAAAAAAAAAAATTTGACAATTTGCCAATACAAATTTCAGGTGATCTTTAAAATAGTTTAAAGATTCAGTTTTTCATAAATGTAAAGGCAGAGAGTTCCATGATTTTGCTACTCTAAAGAAAAGAGAAAATTGTAAAACATTTGTTCTGGCATATCTAATTTATTAAGCTAATTTATTAATTAATATTAATTATGTATTAAGCACATCTAATTTATTAAGCTGAAAACAATTAACCTTACAAATTGTAGGTTAAGCTTCTCCATAATTTATTGCTCATCAGTATTCTGAAATTGCTCTGCTTATTAGTATAGTGATTGCATTTGGGTTTCTTCGTTATGATATGAAAAATCATAAACATCGGAGATAATTAACAATTATTCTTCGAGCCCAAATGGGCTCTGAGTCCAGCCGAATGGGCTATTGACTCAGAGGCCATGAGGGCGAGAGGAATAATTGTTTTAGTAAAATCCAACTATAAAGCAAGACTTTAATCCTTTTTTGCCACCAAAAATCCATCGCTTTTCGCTACTAGTGGGCTATAACATATAGCCTAGTAGTAGCTCAACCAATCAGAATGCAGCATTGATAAAAGACCACTAGTTGGATTTTACTAAAAAGAATAATACCCTCTGTGATCTGCATAATTCTTCTTGAGTCAAAGATGAATCCGAGATTCAATCAAAATAATTCCAGCTTGAAAACGTGCTTACCTCGGTCTTTGTAAAGTTCCTGTCTTCATAACATTTGCTTGTATCTCTGCAGTTACAGGGTCTAAAGGGAAACTGGTCATTTTGATTCAGAGTTGTTTCGATAAAAATTCAAGTAGTGAAACTGCACAACAATTCTGATCAGACATATACAAAACATGGACCACCTCTGTTGACCTAGTCTATGGACCCCATTGTGGACCCAGTCCATGGACTACCCTGTGGACCACCACTAATTTTGAAGATGAATTTTATGAGAGGTGTAAGCTAATTTTAAGAACCTTAAATGGACGAAACTGTGTCAATAAATTATACTTCTTATCAGGATTTTGGTCTCCTCATATTAAACGCTTGTTCCAATTTTTCCTGAATTCCATACCAAAGGAACGGAAGAGAAGTAGGGAGGAAGTAGTCTTCCTCTGCATCTTTTCTGTGTCACTGTGTTGTGTGGCAACACAACAGCTGTGTAGGAGACTAGGTCAGGAAGAGGTTAAGGATGCTGATTGAGTATCATTCTCAGACTTCCCTTTCCTTGAAAGTGCTTGGAAATGTTTGTTTGCAGCAAACTAGTTGAATACTCCTTTTGGTATGGATCAAGCACAAAATGACAACTTATTTTCAAAAACATGGTTCGTCAGACATCTGGCAAGCTTTGCAGACATACACATGTAACAGTTATATGCAGGTCATTTTGTGCTTGATCTGTAAGCATGCTTCAATAAGTTTGCCGATTATAAAGGTTTCTCATAGACTATTAAGGGAAGGGAAGTCAAATTCCCAGCTAGCTTGAACTTTAATATCCTTTCCCTTGATAAAAAATTTGCTGAAAATTACCCCTGATAACTTGAATTTTGTTTCTTGTAACTCTACTCAGGTGCTATCCCATTAGCTCTTCTTGTTGTATAATCAGTAAAAACAGCAAAACCAACACTGGTTAACGCTACAGCCATTTGATATTAATTGGTGCAACAAACAGATTTCATTTTATCATAAAAAAATTGCCTAATCATGTTACCGTTTTTCGACAAAAAAGTTAAACTTGAACTGCAGTACATGTAGCACTACATGTATACACTGAATTGCTTCACAAATCGGTAACTATCAGTTTTTAACCCCGATAACTCAAACTCTTGCCAACCCAGAATGTTTTTGTTTCCCTTCAGCGTTGCAGTTACAAGGGTTCTACTCTATTTCTAACTTGCTAATTTATGATTATTTCAAAAATGAGGCTTGGCAGTGAGATTTGCTCATGTGACACATTTACTTGCATATATGGGCTATTACATTTTCAGACCATTATTATTACCATTTTTATTATTACAGAGGTCATTTACCTATTTATTTCATGTTTCAATGCTGTTATTATTTTATATATGAAAGGAAGAGGAAGAAATATCAGAAACAGAAAACACGTCAGTTTGTGACATTAATGCTACAAGCAACAGTTCATCACCATCATGTCCTGAGAGAACTGAAGATTCAGAAATGAAACAAGGTAATAATAATTATAAACCAGTAAAATATAAGATTTAGGAAGGTTAACTTTGTTATGTACTTCTAGTAACTTCAGTGATCCAGCAAAAGCCCAAAATAATGTTATACTGTTTAGTGCAAAAAATTTATGTATTGCAACCTATTGTACCTGCATGAAAATAAATACAATTTTTTATATCAATTTGCAACACATGATAAAACTTGCACTGGGAGACGCAAATTTAGACTGCTCACCCACCCTCCCCCTAAGATAATGTTTTGCTTTAAGTGAGAAGTAAGTGTTAATGTTGGCTTAGGGGAGGGGTAGGTGGATAGTTTCCCAGAAATGTATAATGATCCAATTTCCTTGCTTGAGTGGTTTGTGGGAGCAGGGAATTTAATTCAGGCAAAATCTCTGTGATCAGGACCCTATTACTGCTAATTGAGTCTCTGGTAAGGATTCTCTAGGATGCTAGTTAGGGATCCTGAACAGTATTCTACAGGATCCTGAGTTTGGATCCTCGTCCCAGGGTAGCATGTGTACAGACCCCCCCTCCCCCCTCCTCATCCCGTAATTTTTCCTGAGGGGAGTGGGGTCTGTACACAGGCTAGTCCCAGGGTTACATGTACAAACTGAATTATTTTGGTAAGCAAAAGGCTTTCGTTGAAAATCAACACTTGCATGGTAGTCAGCTAAGGAAACCTTTCCACTGAAACAGCCTGTGCAGAATTTTAATTATTTATCTGAGTTATTACATACAGACTGGGAGTCAGAAAGTCTTGTCTCCATAAAATAAAATAAAAAAATCTTTGTTTTTGTTTCTATTCAGAACAAGTGGATCTTATCAGACAAGTGATGTCAGGTATAACTCTCCCCACCTCAGCCATTCCTGATTGGGCTAAAGTGATACCAGAAGAAAAGTGGAAAGCTTCTCTAGTATCAAGCATAACAAATAGAACTACATCACTGCCAAGCAGTTCAAAAAAAGACTAAACTATTTTAGATACGATATTAAATAGAGGGTGAAAATGATGATGTGTAGCTGGCATCGAAGTCGTTAGCATTTTCCTTATAAGATACACACAAGACTTGCAGTTTCTTACCAAAGGTAACTGCCTGACCTCAGTTGCCTCTATACCAGCTATGGAAATATTAGAACATAATTTGTAGAATATAATACCGGTATTTGCAAGAAGTTACTGGTAATACAGTTGTCTTTAGTTCTTGTTTGATATGCGCCAGTGGGCTGCTTAGTTAAAATAAATACATGATCATTCTACTAGCGATAGCATCACCTTCAAATTTAAAAGGCTGTAAAAGAATGAAACTTACGAAAGACATAAGCAAGAACTTGGGCCCATGTAAGGTTATCAAGATACTGCATTCTGAAAAATTTTTACTTGTAAAATCCTGAATTCAGCTCTGAGAATCCGAAATCCCACCTGGTGCAACCCCTGGTGCACGATATATCAAGACAGTGAATACCAAGTTTCAGTCACATCACAAAGAACACAACAATGATCTCTGGCCCCTACACAATAACATAATAAACTTCACACAATATAATTAGAACGACACAATAGTAGATATATTGACTTGGTATATTGAGCATCATCCAAAATCCCAGAGTGACTTAATTAGTTGTACCTGGAATCCAGAATCAACAGCATGGGATCCAGACTATGCCAGACTCCAAAACTGGTTTGGATTACGTTACATTGGGCAAAAATGACTTGTAGATTCAGTTAGTGTAGCCAAATGCTCAGATTTATAAATGGCTTATTTCTTATTTTTCTAGTCTCATAGCATCATTGTACATATGTACTTGAAACTCGAAACTTGTGTGTCATTTGCATGTCAAGACAGCATAATTGAGTTTCACAGACTAGAGTATGATTTTAAACTGTCAACTTAGATTTGAGTGTTACTGTCCCGAGGGTAGACTTCCTTATAAGAGGCTAATGGGGATGTGCTGCTGGATGGGGTCATATTTTCAGGACTGGATTGACTTTAATGGGGTCGCATTTTCAATAGAGTTACTAGAATGGGGTTGTGCATTTTCTGATTTTTGTTGTGAGAAAGTTCTTCATATTTACGGGCAGCAAACGTACCAGAATGCTCGTCCTGTAGGTGAAACGCAAAGTGTTCTTCATTCAATTTACAAAATATGTCAATTCATTTTAGGATGACCTAGTTAAAGTAGACGCACAAACAGAAAGTGACTATTAAATTTGGGATCGCGAAAATTATATTTGCCTAAAAGTGGCTAAGATGGGGTCTATAATTGGCAACAGAATAGTGTGGGGCCAGCGGCACATACCTAGCAAAAATTAGCCCAAGTACCTTCCCCGGGGGTACTGTTATGAAGTTGAATTTACCTAATGCTTCTCACATTACACACGCATCACTTCTACGACGATTTCGGTGATTAGGGTACAATTTTTACTTTCATTTTACGAACAGTTTTTGATACGCAGCAAATGAATATTACTTTTGCGCATGCTTGGTACGTATGTAGCCAGCATTCGATTGGACGTCCACTACGAATGAATGGAATGCATAGAACGCAATCTGATAACTCCAGGGTTCGTAAAGAGTCAGGGGCACCCAACGAGAATATAGTTCAAAACCACTTAAACATAGAATTGTATTTTAGTATTTAAACGGTAGATATAGGCATATTTTTATCCCCTGGAAATTTTTCATCTGTTCGGATTTCCTAGCTGAAAGTCAAGTGATCCGAAAATTATAGGGATCAAAACTTACCTTTTCGAAAATTTTAGCCAGAAAAGAGGCTCCCGAAAATTCTAGGTGACCTTTTTAGGGTAAAAATCCGTTTAAAATAGGCAATTATACCATTTTTTAGATGTCCGAAAATCCTAGGAGAGGCAGGCAAGCAAGAAATTTTACAACAAATGTTCCGAAAATTCTAGATCTCAAATCGTCTTCCGAACAGATATTTTTCCGAAAATTGTCGTTGGGTGCCCCTGAAGAGTCTTGAATTCTTGAAAAACTCTTGAAATTTGCCCAGTAATTTTCCATACCTAGAAAATGGAGATAAAGTCTGGAAATATGATAAATAGTCTTGATTTTTTTTTTTTGAAAGATACTGCAAGTGCTTTATAAGTGGAATTTTTTTCGTTTTGGTCAAATCTTATTCAATCTCGCCGGTACTTTTGCAACGCATCATGAAAAAGAAGCTTTGTTTCTGCGTTTTTTTTAAAGGTCTCTATTCATCACCTATGTGATAATCTTGAGTCTGGAAAAAGGAATTGTTGTTTTTGGAAAAAGTCTGGAAAAGTTTGCATCCAAAAATCTGAACGAACCCTGCAACTCGCGTTTTGACCTTCTATCACGGAGGTCTTGCCGGCACTCCCCAACCTTTAGGAAATAATAGTAGTTCTAAATTCATAATGAAAATTTGTAAAGCTCGTTTACACTTCAGTGGCGGATCCAGGGGAGGGGCCCGGGGGGTTTCGACCAAACCGAGGTCCGAAGGGCCGAAAAATTTTTTTGGGAGACCGCCCCCCGCCCCCTTATCTAACGGTCTGGATGACCGCCCCCAAATAATAAATAAATGAAATGTCAGATATTGATTTAACGAAAATTTGGTTAACGTGTTGGGTCAAACCATATGTGACAGCCTTGTTTTATGAAAAGTAACGCCTGTTTACGTAGGATTTCGAATAACTGGTGTTGAAAGTAACATCTGTTGGTTTTCGTTCCTTCCAACCTTTCCAATAATAAATAAGACAGACGGTCCAAAAATGAAGCGGTAGGGATGAGCAACATTTGTTTTTTCCTTGACCTAATAAGGGGCAAACCGATTTATTCTGGGGGAGCTATGAACATGTTAGCTCTATTTATAGGTCAGCCTATATGAGCTATAAAGTCTCCCCCTTAGAATTGCCCACAAGTCGAGCTCAAATTTTTCCACAAGCGCAAAGCGTGAGCGGTAGATTTTTTATGTTTTCTGCGGCAAAAGCGAGCGAGAGAGCGGGAGCATTTTGCCCTTGGGCTGAGTTGTCTACCAGTGGTTATTCTCTCAAAAGTATCCAACTATTCCTGAAGAGCTTGCCTTTGTCCGTCCCAAAAATCGTGAATACTCAAGTCGTTTTTGTAGTTGCTGTCCTGTTATTAATGTTACATTTACCACGGCTTGAGCGATTGAAAGGCCTTGAAGGTTGTGTGGGTGTCCTGTGTTAGAAATCCTGTCATGGTGGGGATTTTCGTACAGCGGACATTCCGCTGAAATTATATCAACGACACTTAGCACGAACTAAATATTTGTTTTCTTTATCTGTGTGAAGAGCTTCAGTCCATCTGATCGATGGCTAATTAACCAAAATGAGTTTCTTGATAATAAGCCGGTTTATGGAAAGACAAGAAAACCGGCATTTACTGTAAAGCGGCGATATCAAATGGGTAATAAGCTGGTAAAATCCAGAACGAAGGTCGAGAGACCTCCAGCGGCGATATGTCCTCGTAGACCTCTACAGCCTTTAAAGAGGACAATAAACGGAGGTCGAAACATTCAGTTTTCGAATTTTCCACGGACCATCGCACAGTTTACCCACAAAGACGGCAATGGATTAACCGAAGAAACAGAAGAAGAGGTTCACTGTTGTACTTTCGCTCCAGACGACGAATCGCTGATTGTGACTTGCACGACTCCTTGCGGCCCAACTTACCGACCGGGCGAAGGTTTTGGTCATTTGAGGGTGTTTGATATCACTTCGGGATTATGTATAAAGGAAATCCTCACTTATAACTCTCAACAATGCGACATCTCTGCAGACGGTGATTTGATCACTTTTGTTATGAATTCTGGAAGAGGAGAAGTTGCACTGGTCAGACGAAGTCGAGATTCTCGAAGTGGAATCGCAGAACGCGTTGAGAAATTTCAGCCCTGTTGCACAGGAATCACCGGTCAAACTCTCTCTTGTAAGTTTTCTCCAGATGCTTCGCACATCGTTAGCGCGGCGTCACTGGATTTTCACAGTATTCGAGAAACGAACGAGTTACGATTATGGAACGTGAAATCTATGCAGACCGTAAAGAAAGTCGTGTTACGCGATCTTACAGATTTTTGTGGTTTCGTTACAAGCTGCGAATTTTCTCCAGATGGACAGTACATCGCTGTGTCCACTTCTCAGGAACAGCTGTGCATTTTAAGGAGTAAGAACTTCGACATTGTGGCCGTTTTGAGAAAGAGATGCCGAGGAAACAAATGTTGGAGTGTTTTTGATCCAAGGTGGAAATGCGAAATACTTGCGTGTTGTTTACAAGATGGACGAGTGGAAATCTGGCAAAAAATCGAACATCTGTCCACCTGTGATGTGCGATATGTTTGTGACAAGCAGCGCAAAGTTTCGTTTTCTCGGAGGCTGTACTCTTGTCGTTACTCACCCGATGGTATGATGTTAGCTGTGGGAACATCGGACGCTAACATAATAGTTCTTGACTCTGGCAACTTGGAGTCACTTTTCTGCTTGGACTCAAAGTCGATGCCTGACCCTTATCGACCTAGGAATGAAAACACTATTGTGGATTGTATTGCATTCTCTAGATCACAGCAGTATGTGGCAGCGGGCTACAGCGATGGACTGGCAAGAATATGGGCTATGCCTGTTAGGTTTGATTTAAAACACTTATGCCGAGTTGTCATCTTGCACTCTGTGGCAGCCAGTAAGATCAGTTGCCTTCCAATTCCCAGTGGTATAAAGACATACCTTCTGAACAGGTGTAGTTAGTTATAGATATAATTAATAATTTTCTGCGGAAGTAAATATGTAGGGATGGGCGATGGTACCTCGAAAAAATAAATATAAAATTTCGGCCTGGTCTCAAAATCTCAGAAGTGTTTTTGATGGGTCTCGAAATCTCATTTTTGCATTTCTTTTTGGACTCACAGTGTCGATTTTTTTGCCAACAGGTCTCGGGGAATTGGATTTGTTGCTTTTTTTTTTTTAGTTTGGTTGTCAGGAGTTGAATTTTTCAGAGTACTTATTGAACTGAGCTGGCACACATTAAGACAGTAAAACAAGACAATGGCACACAAGTCGCATTAGCTAAAGCAGTATATTGGTGGGCTTCTGCCTAATTTTCATTGGCATTTTTAGTTGTTTTATTCTCAGGCTTGGATTTTAAAAGCAGGTTCTCGCAGCCTCACAGAGTCTCAAATCTACCATTCTATATAGGATGACTCCTGTATGAAAAGTATGGGGATGCTTGCCAGAAAAATTAGAATTAAACACCTAATTAAAAGAGGTTAGTGTGGGCATGAATCAGGCATAATTGAACCCATGGAAGAGACTGCTAAATACAGCCAACCAATTTCCTTGTCTCTGCAGCCATTCTTTGTGTCATCAAGCATGGAGCATTCTGTTATGACGACACACACACAAAAGTATGGCTGCTTAGAAGACTACCATTGAATAGTTGTAGTTATTTCAGTTACTCAAAAGATGTTGAAAGTTAATATTGAAGTTGTCTTTAACCCATTATGACAGCTTAAAATTTTTTGAGTATAAACAATTATTATTATTTGTTTGCTTTACAGCTGATCTCTTCTGGTAAAAATTAAATACAGTAGCTTTCCACCCTGAACACTCTTAGTGAGACCAAATATGCAACTCTCAGTTGCAAACAGAAGATAATACAATGTACATGATAAAAAATTTATACTTTTAAAATATGGAATTAGTGAAAAACAAGACAGTGTCAAATTTAAGGCTATTACTGCATTGGCAACCAACAAAATTGAGCTTATTTATTAATTAAGGTCTGGTCTGCAAAAAGATGAAACAGGTGATAATTGAAGAGTTAGTGTTTGATACAAATAAAGTTGAATTCACATCTAAACAACTTGCCAGTGTTTGTATTAACTTATTAATATTGTCAGTAAGTACAGTGTAGTATGAACTGATCAGCCACACTTAGGCTAATTACTTCGCAATATACGAATTTGCCCAAATTAGGTCAAATATAAATAGTTTTGAAAGCCATGATTGTATTTTCAAAGAAGGAATTGTTTTAAAGGGTTTAGGGATTTTTATGATGTGCGATATAACTGATTAACTTTAGTAAACTAGTAGAACAGCTGCAATCTTTGCTTTAAGGTCTTTAAAGTCATTTTCTGTTATATAATATTTACAGGTGAAAATTGATTAATAGAATGTAAAGAAATGCTCAACAGAAAATGGGTCTGAATTTCTTGACGTAAGATACAGTAATGTTATAATTTCTACATGTCATTGTAAAATCCACCAAACTGCACAAGGAAGTGATCACATATTTCTGTATTTGCTCTCAAACCATTGCCTGACAAGTATTTTCTTGGCTGTTGTGGGAGTTATAAACTCTTGCTCCTTATAAACAGGCTCTGTGATACCTACAGTACAATTATTTGAAAATTAAAGCAAGAAATAAATAACATAGTAAACTTATAACCGGCAAAGCCGTATATCACCTTGGTCTGCTGCAGCAGAATATAAACTAGTATGACAGCCGCCTTTAGGCAGGGAAAGTTTTTATTAGCCTTTTGACATTTTATGCATGTAGCAGTAATTTCATGGGGCAAGTGGAAAAATCATGATTGGCCCCACAGAAAGTGTAACTTTTTCAAGTGTCCCAAAACCATTTAAAATGTTTATAGCAAATAGCAGAGTACTCAAGTAAAATAGAGGTTGGCATGGGAGGGGGGCCTGGACAATTCCTTGTATGGTGTAACACTATTATCTAAACCACTATTTCAACCTTAATTATTTACAGCACTTTAAAAACACAAAACACAAAAACTTGAATTGAAAAGGTCTAATGTTTTTTCAGTTATCATAAATTTAGTACCTAATGTTTCTCTAAATGTTCGAGTGACCGTTTCATCCCACGCTGCTTGAAAAAAGCACAGGCCAGCAGGAATCAACTCATGTCTGTGATTGGAGAGGAACTCAGACAAGGAGAATGTCCTATTGAATATATCTCTGTCAAGTAAGGCAAGCATCACAGAATTATTGGTTTGTTAACTATATCTTTGGCTTTTTTTCAAATGTAAATATATTAGCCTGAGATGCTATTGAATCTCTTCACCAAGAGCTCAAAAAACTGGAGGAAATGACATCTTTATTACATCATCATTTAAAGACTATTCATTTTGTAGATTAAACACAAAAGTCAAGATTTCCAGCAGTTGCAGATAAGTCACTGAATGATCACATTAAATAAAGAAACAACAAAGAAAATGATGAAGAGGTGCTTGGAATAAGGCCCTTAGTGACTCCTGATGTATAAAAAATTCTCCCTTTCATTCAAAAGTATAAACAGAACAAATTTCAAGGAGAATCTTACTAGAAATAATTTATCAGAAATCACCTCCTGGGACTTTGTTCCTAAGAAACATGGATTGCTTTCTTTTAATAGGAGAGATCGCTGTTTACAAACATTATTTTTGTTATTTATGTGTAAAAAGTTAAACAGAGGAATGTTTTGTTACAAGAACCAAAATTTACATGTACTTCTGGTTGGCACATGAAGGGCACTTTTCAGGGTCAATACCTCCCAAGTTTGAGCTTAAACTACATCGCCATTATTAAAGATTTGGATAAATTACCACCACAGCTGTATTAGATAAAGATGAAAATTTGTTATAATCAGGGTTTCGATGTCATTGGAGTTGTCACACCAATGAAATGACGCCATTACCTATTTTACTTACATGGTACATGTACATGTAGCTGACTTTACATGTAATTTGCATTAACTGATGATTAGAAAGATAAAAATTTTGTGATTCAATCAAATTTTAATTGAATCACAAAATTTTAATATCTGACAATTCAAAGAGCTACTGGTTTGAATTACAGTAGGAGGGGAGGGGGGTCATTCTGTAAAAAAAATGATCTCCACAACCATTATAATTTTACCCCGATTTTCTTAGAAGCAAAAATCATTCACATCAATACAATAATATTAGTTCTTATTTATTTATCTATCTATTAAAATATATAAATAAATAAGAGCTGATTCTTACTTCAAGGAATGCATTAAGGATGGCAGAGGGCATGGAATAAGCCTATGACAATGTTAATTTGACAACTATATGCACTGTATTTAAGGTATGTAGCTACCTTGGTTGTGTGTTTAGGTAATTGCCAAGATCAAGTTCACCACTTTGTTTAAGAAGGCAGAGGACAAATCTGTGGAATCCTGTTCCTTTGATTGGGACAGGAGGAAGATATTCACACAGAACCTGACCATCAGATATTCTGGAACCAGGGATATTGCCTCTGAAAGCAAAGCAAAAAAGACTAATGAACTTGACATGAGAACTATCAGTCATAACAAATAATTATAACTTTACAAGAAATAGTTTAACAGTAGTGAGCTACAGGGTTAGAAACCTGAATTAATTTTGTTACCACTGGCCTATCAAATAATAAATTTCCTTGAGTTCTACATGTAAGTAGTTAAAGTTTAATAAGCGGAGAATTATAATACTGAAAATGGTTATTAGACTGTTTAAGTCATAAAAAAAATGAAAAATTTGTGCACCTGCCCCTTTGGCCTGAAGACAGAATCAAGGAAAAGAAAGAAAGTGTGTACAATGTATGATGACAATAATTAATATGTAATAAATTATTATAATTTGGGATCTTGCTATACTCACATCATCCAGTGTAAAAATTCCTTCTTCTTTTCTATGAAGTTTCCATCTGTAATAAAAAGCCAACAAAACATTGTTAGAGAGGTGATTTAGTTTAGGTTTTATAGTGACTATGTTTGTCTTTAACACAGTGTATTGCAGTTTTAATTTGTAGCTTGTAACACAGGATCCTGGCCAAGCATTATGCAAAGTTTACATTGACATGCATAAACTGTTAAGAATAGGTCTCAACATAAGCTATGAATTTCAAAGATATAGACCCAACAAGACTGAAGCCTTGTGAAGGTATCTGAGGTCTGAAAATTCACATCACCACTTCGTCATTGCACCAATTTCATAAAAGGTTAGTGACTAACCAATATTCAGAAGTTATTTTTGTTGTGTTTTATTACTTCTGCTTCATTGCTAACTTGACGACAAGCCGGGGGGTAAAGTTATTCAGCAACTGTATATTTTTAAAATCTAAAACCCTCGGCTACAAGCCGAATCCCGTTCTTCGTGAAAAATCTCCCAAAATTTTGGGTTGAAAACTGAAAAAATCGCTCGGCTTATAGGTGAAGAAATACGGTAGTTTTGTTACATAATGTAGGGTGTACAGTACATGCATGATGGTTTGTCTTCTTCAGAGAAATCACTTATTTTCCGCAAGAAAAGGGCTTACACATAAGTGAAGTTATTAACTAGCATGAATGACCATTATAGTGAGAAAAAAAGAAACAACGAACAAAAGAAAATCCCAATAGCTTGATGGCCACACCTGGATTAGCAAAAATTAATGTCCATTTGATGTCATCTGAACTGTCGTAATCAACAGTCGGTTCATGAAATGCCTTGGATAAAGGAAGAGAACAAAAAAGAAAAAGATAACAATAACTAATATTAATAATAATAATAATAATACAATATGTAGCCTCTGCTTTAACATTAGGCTACAACGTAGATGTAAAGTCCTTGATGTGAAACTGATTTTTAATCTCACAAATTTCAAAATAAAACTCACTTTATCTCAACGATGGTTTTGCATTATTTTAACCCCCCTTTGAAAGTGAACTTGGAAATGGGCTATTTCATACCACCACAAATCCTGGGATGAGATCTTTATTACTTAAAACAAGAACTACATGTACTGTACATGTATGTGCCATCCAGTTAGTAGCAAGTTCTACTGGTGGAGGTTCAGACACCTGTATAATCGAACAGTGACATTAACCAATCATATTAAATGCACTCAGCTAAATCCACTAATCACAAAATTTTAATATCACAATAGCCATACACCTGTAGCAGCCAAGTGAGGAGATCAGATAAGGGCATTTTGCATCAACCATGAGATCAGGAGAGGAGAAAAACGTTATGTTCTTTTCTCATCCCTCATCGTGTGCTTTGCACTTGTCTCGCACTTTCCGCAAAATTCTCTGTTTGCCTCGCTTGGCCCATAGAGCACCTTTCATGCAGGCTAGTGGAGGTATTATAAAGCTGGGCCAAAAATCAGTCTTGTTTTCAAATGAACATACTGGAAATTATTGAAAATCTTCAATTCTAACAAATAATTTGAGTCTATTAGTTTTAGAAACAATTATTTAAGTACAGTGTAACTTTAATGCATACCACACCTGTGATGGAGTTAGAAAGTTTCCAAAATGCACTTGGTCTGTTTCACCAAATTTTACTAACATCCTAACTGAAGGTGTGAACTCTTGCTTGAACATGTGTTCATAGATACCATAATGTCTGGCAAGTTTTGTTGTTGTTGAGAATTCATTTTTAGCCATCCAGTCCGTCCTCACTATATCCAGTGGTATATGCACTGTGGAATAAAATACCAAAGCAATAAGTTTAGAACATGATGGCTAGTAGTCTGATGCTTAAAGTTGACGTCACTTGTGTTCTGAATGACTGCAACACCATTACCTTAAACTCTGACCCTGTTCCCAAACGACATTTTTAAACATGAATTAAAACAATATTATTTTCAATTACAACTGACCATAACTTTTTTAAAATTTAAACACAAGATCTTCCAATTATTAAGAAGTTTTTGCTAGATGTGAAAAAAGAACCCATTCAAGACCTTATTGTCCAATTACTTGGGCGTGATGCATACTGTCCTATTACATTGACCAATTACTTAGTAGCAAAGTCCTGTTACCAATGAGTCACAGTCATTACAATTTCAGAAAAACCAATGCATTCTTTTTTTATGGGTAGAGACACTGTTTAATGGTACAAATTACTTGTCCATTTTGGAAAATCTTCAGCTTAGTAGAGCAAGTGGTTGTTGCCACAGGTGTATGGCTATTGTGATAAATTCTGTGATTAGTCATTATGAAGTCCTGCCTATTGAAACGTGTCGCTCATAAGTGCAAATTTTCCTATCAATCAAATGTCTCCTATTATTTGCAGGTGGAAACTGGTGAAACATCTTGATTGTTTTGGAGTCAATAGAAGAACAAAAGATACCGATAAGATCAAGTCATGCAGTCTTAAAGCATGTTGCACGCCTTTATTCAGTTACAGCATTCCTCATAACTTTCCCACATTATAATGTTGGCATGAAAAGTCTGAAGCGAAGCTTAAAAAAATCTTGATAGTCAAAATAAACAGGGTGCCCAAAAAGGCAAGCACCTGAGAAATCAAAGGTGACATTTTGGTCTCCAGGAAATCTCCCAAATGAAGGGTAATTTGCCCGTAAGTGTAAGTGAAGTGAACTAGATACGTATCGCCGTGGTTTTATACACAACATGTCCTCGAAGTTTTTCTTTCCTTTTAAAGGTGTAAATTCACATGAGAGAATTCAGCTTTCACAAAAATAATATAAAATGAAACAAAGCAAATTAAAAAGTTGTAAAAAAGCCAGGATATTTCAGTTTTGTGGAAAGTAAGCGAAAGGGTAGGTGATTTGCATACCAATAAAAACAACTTCCAGCACAATTAGAAACAATTCGACTTTCCGTTTGTTTTCCGCATTCTATACATTCTACTGGCTTAAATCGTTAAAATATTTTATAAAGTCAAAATAATTTACAGGTTGAGCAGTTGCATTTCCTGATAAAATGGAGAGTAGTGCGAAAGCTTCGAATTATCAATTTGCTTAAGTTAAATTACCTTTGTATCATGGAAGCAATATGCTAACACTTCGTCTAGAGTCAAAGGACGCGACATGCATCGGCATCCTTTGTGAGCGAGCAAATAGTCATGGGACCCGCGTTTTTACAGGTGACGTGGATCAATAGGTGGAATTCCATAATGTTGATTTAGCAGAGTGCACTTAATATGATTGGTCGACATGACTGTTCAATTTACAAGTGTCTGATTATAGCCAACTTTCCGATTACAACCCTACTCAATAATTAGAGAAAAATAATAGTTAATCCATCAATCAAATATATATTTGCTATACTTATGTTTAAAACGGTTGCTAACATTTTTCATCTCGCGCTGCCTTTTCCAAGTCCGAATCCTGTCTATTTTTCTTGTAAATTGCTGCCTTCATTCTCCTAAAATCCTTCCGTTTTGATGTCTGATCAAATGTTTGAAAAGTGTCTGATGCTGAAAGACAGGGAAAAAAGTGTGGAAACAATAATTAATGCATTGCATTAGTATACAAAAGGCTTTGTGAGGGCTTACAAGAGATTAACATTGTACAGTTTTTTTGCATGTGATGTACTTGAAATGCATTAACCTACAACACAAACATGTAACTTAATACGTTCAGTGCTCAACAGTAGTAATAATATTTATCTAAGTACCCTAATTTTTTGGGAAA